GTGTGTCAGATCCCTGGGAATTGTGGAGGCCTCTGCCTTTTTCAGCAGTGATTTTGTCACCAAACCTCGGTACACACTATGTGCAAAACCACAAACATACACACAAAAGACACGCGCACAGACACAGAGAGTCACACACATACCCTGTAGTTTGGGCAAGCACAGTTCTGGGCCTCAGCCTCCTGCTGTCCCAGTGGCTCTGGGTCGGGGTGCACATTCACACCCCTCACCCTCTTTGATCCCCAGCTGGGTGTCCCCTTCAGTGCAGGAGGCTGGAGCTGCATCACGTCCCTGTTATAGGGACACCACATTGTGCTGTGGGTGAGCTGTGTGTTGCCTGGTGACAGGGACCCTTCCTTTCTCTAATTGTGTCTAACTTGGCTGCAACTTCCAAAGATGGACATTCGTGACCTGGGTGTCCCGGAGGAAAGTGTCCTTCCTGGAGGTGTGCAGGGTGAATCTCTCATGCCTCTTGGGAGGAGAGGCCTGTGCTGGTTGCTCAGCGGGGGCTGTGACTCCCACGGTGAAAGGGACAGTTCTCAGTCACTCTATTGCTCCCTTGGGACTGGTGGGTGGGTCTCTCATCTCTTCCTGACCTTCTTTGGTGTCCTCTCTTCCCTGGCCGTCTGATTGTCCTGTGGACACCACATCTTCCCCGTGGTGGTGCAGGAGGAAGTGGGGAGTTACCCATGAACCCCGTGGAACATGACTCGTTGAGATACAGGAAAGGGAACCTGGGACACAGCAGGGATTCAGAGCTGGAGAGATTCATCCAGACTTACTCCGTGGCCGTGATGGGCTCTGCCCTCCATGTGCTGACATACCCAGGGTTCTCTCCTGAGGGTTTTCACCTGGCCAAGCTGCTCTCTGTAGAGGAGGAACAGGCAGTCACCAGAGAGCCTCTCTGGAGGGACGTCGCTCACACCTGAGAAGGCTAGTGGGGGTGAGTTGTGTTCTCAGAGCAAAGAGCAATAATACCCCGTTCTCCCGGCAGGGACACAGGAGAGGTCTGTTTCCCAAGGGACAGCCGGGGGTAGGTGGTCACATCCTATGTGGTGCCTGTGTGTGAGCATCACGGGCGCTCTGAGCCCCACGGGGTGCAGCGGGCAGGCAGGTCACAGGGTGCCTGACGGATTCCCGGGGTGGCTGTGGGCCCTCAGGCAGCCGCTGTTCTGTGTCAGCGCTAGGCTTGGCCTAGGATGCCCCACAGAACAGGACAGATGGAGCAGAGGCGGGCATTTAGGGAGCAGTGACAGAAAGAGTTGATGAGGATGGAGGGAAGTCACGAGGGGAAAGGGCGCAGTGCGGCGTCGCGTGCCCCAGCGCTGCCCTGGGAGATGTCTTTTTAACTGAGCCCAGGGAAGGAGCAGGTGTGTGGGGCAGGAGCTGCCTGCAGAGGGTGTGGTGTTACGTTGGCGGCCGCCAGGTCAGGAAGGAGCTGACAGAGTCCGTGTGGGGAGCATGGAGGACGTTGAGGACTTGGGCCAAGGTGACCCTGGTGAGGGTGGACCCTGCTTGGCTACGGATTCTGCTGAGGGAGGTCGGCATCCCCTGGGAAGGCCTCAGGCTGGAGGGACTCTGCCGCCCTCTGGTGGACTGGAAGGGAAGTGTGGGGGGCCGAAGTCCCAGGCCAGGCTGCGTATTTTATTCCACAAGGATCTGCACGTTTCAAACGAGGTCACACATATGCTATGTTACAGTTCCATCACCTTTCAGCCCTGTGAGTCCCAGTCTCTGCGGCTCTGCGTTCACTGTTCTCTCTCTTTCACGATCGGATGTCCCGAACGGAGATTTTTGTCAACTTCAGTGAGTTTGTGTGTGTGTACAGTAGGCGGCACTGTGTATACCCGGGGGGCAGTGATGTCTGGGGCTGAGCACTGCACATGGGCTTGGGAGCAGAAGACGGAGCAGCAGGGCGGGAGGATCAGTGAAAGGGGAGCAGGGACAAGTCATTTTCATTTTCTCACTCCCAGGGACCACAACCCAGGATTCTTACTCCAGGGCGCAGTAGCACACCCTGCTGGTGTCCCTGGATGTCATGAGTGCTCATAGTGTCATGTTGCCTTGGCATTCCTTTTTTAAGCTGTAAATTTATTTGCCTTACATCAGAGGCAGGCCTTGCTCACCATGGCAGTTTTCAATAGTGACTGCAGTTGGTGGCCAGCGATAAAATCTAAGAGGCATCTCTCCTGCTTGGTGTGCTGGGCTCCTCTCTCTCCATCTACTTTCTTTAAACTGATTTTCTGACATTTGCCCTTACATTTAAAGTGACCATTTCTCAATCACAGCATGATCTCCTGGTCCCAGTGTTTGCTACTTCCTTTAATCACATCCATTAAAGCTCCCTGCTGGAAACCTGTCAGATAACACCTGGACTTACTAAAGACATCGGCTTACGGGCTCTTCTGTCCTCTCTGCCTGGGCTCGCTGACATCTGTATCTGTGGTCTCCAGGTGTGCCGAGTGCTCCCCAGTGTCTGTAAGTAGTAAAAATACTTATACTTTCACGTTGTGGTTGTATCATTATAGCCTCACATACCATTCAGGGCCTGACATGGAGGCTGCCCTGTGGGACCTGTGCTGGTTGAACCCCTGCTGGAGCTCTTGGTTTGGGACCTGCAGTTCTTCTGGGGACAGGAGCTTCCAGCTAACTTGATTGAAAAAGTGATACGTTTCATGGAAAACACTGGGTCAGATGATGTATTCATGGGCTTCAGCTGCCATAACAAACACCTTAGCCTGGGTGAATTAAATAATAGAAATCGATTTTGCACAGTTCTGTGAATAATGTGCTATTTTAAT